ATATATATATATATGCAGTAAAATGCATATGCTGTATATTTTAGAGACAATGTCTATAAAATTACGCTGAAGAGCTAATTTGCCACGTTTTGTGGGTTTTAAGTTGTGAAATTTTGTGCAGGGGAAAACAATAACAATATCCAATTTGAATTTAAAAAAAATTAGCAGCATTGATTTTTTTGTCTGCTCTGATCATGTTTTGTCCAATAATTCTTTAAGTATGTACATGCATGTTCTCTGGCATCCATCGGGAGGTGCTGCAGCACCTTGCACACCCCTACTTCCCACCTTTGTTTTGTAGTAAAACATTTATTTGTTGTTTATGTATATACATGTAAACAACATGTTATTGACCAGTTTTAACAAGTGAAACATGTGATTTCAGTTTTAAGAAATTCATTTGGTTGTGGATTGTCAGAGATCATTTTGCTGCAGGTACCAGTAAATTATTTAGCTAGGTTTAGTTTTTTTTTAAACAATATAGGACTATAATTTAAAAATATAATCTCACATTTACCACAAGCTAAAACATACACTTAAAAAAAAACTTAACTGTTGAGTTCGACCTCATCAGCAAAAGACACAAACATGGTCCCACTTAAAAACCAAACAGTTCAGCCCAAATAAAATACGTATGAAATTTGTATTCACCATTTTTCCAAGATTAGATTTAAACAAACATCAGCAGGAGGAGCATTTTTTAGGTATTTGTAAAACACACAGAGCTGCTTGTATTTTCTATTATTTTATGATGGAAGACTGTTTAGCTGGAATAACTGTTTTATTACAAATAAAAAAAACTGAACAGAAAGGATATGTTGAACTGTATTTAATCAGTGGATGAAGGATCACACTGTACCTCCTACTGTGAGATTGTGAGTACCGAGTACAATCCTAGCATAATATCCCACTTATTTAGAACAATCTGTGTTTTTAGTGTCAATGTGGCCAAATACTTTTGTCCATATTGTGTATTTCTAACATTTTTTATGTCACAAATATATAAAAATAAGTTTTAATGATAATTACATGACATTTTGTTTTGATTTTTTTTTCTAATTAGTGCTTAAAGTTGTATAATTTTGTATAATATAATTCCTAATTGTGGGTAGTGTTTAATAAAAGCCTAAAATTGTGCAAAAAAATAAACAAAATAATATTAATATGTTTAAAGTGTAGTTGTGTGAAATATGATTGTAATCATTTCTAAGATTAATGTGAGATTGCTTGTTTCTTCCTTGTGAAAGGGATGCAGTAATACCCGAACCTTTAGATTATTAAAGGTGATTAATAAAATGCAGTACAAAAACTGGGTTTCACATCATCCATACAGACTTTAATGTAAACCTTTTAGTTTGGATGTGATGCATTTGACAAAATAAAAATAACAATGGTTTTATTGTCAACAGCTAAATTGCCCAGAGTTTTCTTTTTTAATGCATCTCATGGTCTTTAGGGACAGAGAAAAACTTGTGCAGATCACGTTACAAATACACACAACTCAGCTTGCAAAGTACAGTGACAGCAAGTAAGCCACACTGTCTGCAAACAAAGATAACAGAGCCAGAAAACACACAGTCCGGTCTGCAGCATGAGGCTGGGTAAAGCCCGCTAAGGAGCAGAAGGGAGCGGGGGGGGAGGGGGGGAGGCATTTGTTCACAAATATTCAATTACAGCACAGGAATGAGAAGATCATAAGAGTAATTAGCACAAAATATCATCAAGGTGGGGGTCATGCTGCTCACATTTAAACCTGGTCAAACGTAAAGGTAACATATTAAACTCTTTTTCTTTTTCTTTCTTGACACTAAAGCTAAAATAAATGCACCTTTTATTCTTATATATCTAATTTGTTAATTATATCTTCTCCTCCCTGGATGCATAATTTGCACGATACAGCTTCATGCTTTATGTAGTTTTTTTTTTTTTTTTGCTCCCACCGTAAATAACGTCCGTACAGACATAATTATTGTTGGTCTCACATTCAGTCACACACAAAGACTCACAGTCACCGTCTGCAGTTAGCATTTCAGAAGTAAAGGATTCATTAATGTTCACAAGGACTGCCTGTGGTGGGAATAGAAAATCCCTGCCAATTTGTCACTGAATCCCGTGGATCAGCTTCTTCGCAGAGCTCCTAACGAGGGGGGACAATTTCTTATGCACACAAAATAAAATGTTTTGACAGGATAAGGCACAGAGAACCTATATGTATGGCAAAATGGCAGTAAAAGATCAACAGTCACTTGGATTTAAACAACCAACAACAAAAAAACATGATCGAGCGTGTTCAGTTAAAGAAATACTGTCCTTTTTCTCCAAATGTACTCACTCTCCTCTCAGTGTTTACTGCTGTGCAGATGAAGAATGGTTTGAACTCCTGTTCAGCTCCTTTTTTAATTCAAGTACTCTATTAGGAACTTCCAAAAGAAATGTGTTTCAAGGGGATCCATTATGCTTCTTTCCAGCTTTGTTTTTTTGAATTATTTTTTAAATTTTTGGTAGCTCTCTAGAGCAGCTTTGCACAATTCATAGCTTTAAAAACAACATGATTTTTATCATCTTGCTTATTATTTGTTTTCATGTTCAGCCTGTGCTTTAAGGAGGTTATTTTAGTTAAAATGTCCCCCTTATCCTCTGACTGGCCCTTCTAATAGAAGGTCATCGCTTTGCAAGCAAAGCCTTAACTGCTTTCTGGTGTAAAGACCCTTGAAAAAAGATCATAAGCCTAATCTGAAACATTACTTGTGTCTAATGAGCATTAAGGAGACATTTTCATCCTGCATCTTGGATGTACAGCAGGACAAGTGTTTAGTTATTTGGAAATTAATTTTCTTGTTATGTGACGTAACAAATTCTTTTATATTTCTAATTGAACTGTAACAGATTAGAAAATAATCTGTAAAGACCTAGGTGTTTGTAATGAAAAGTGTTGAAATGAGATGAACTGGTTGTTGGGCTCGCATGGATACATCTCATTGTTTAAAATCTTTTGCCACATTTAAATCTCCTAAACAATCCCACTTGTTATATAAGTGCTGTTATTTGTGTATTTCTCATTATGCATGACTTTTGCACCAACATCTGGCTGAATAACAAGCAGCCACTGATAGGTATGTTTAATAGTCGTCGATAATGAACGTTTTTGTTTATTGGTTAGTTAATGATTAGAAATGTGAACAACTCTTGGTGAACATGCAACATTTCTATCTTTTACTTGTACAGAAAAGGTAAAAATGCAGCAGTATATGGGGCTCAGCTCTCTGTTTGGCCTTTTTAAAGGGCTAGTTCAGTTTTTTGTTTTTTTTTGTAAACTTGATTTCAGATTTTAAATAGTAATTTATTTGAACAGCACCAATTAAAAGAAACATAATCTAAAAGAACCCCAGTCCCACAAATTTCATTTAAGTTAACATAAAAGCTATTTTATAAAGCTTTGCATTGTTGTCAGTGTCCCATTATTTGGTTATTCCAGCAGAAATATGATGATATTCCTGCCAGTCATGCTCCAGGCTGTGCTAATGCTAACTGCCGATGTCACTATTTGTGCTTGCAAATAACCGTAAACTCCTATGTATATAACATTTGCTAAACCACTATGAAATATTTGAGACTGGAGCTGTTTAGACAGCAGAACAACACTTTGGTCTTGGCCTCACTCTGATTAGCCATTAGCTTGTCAATAGGGTCTGGAAAAAAAAATGCCGTGCTGCACTTTGAGGTTGCTCAGACGTATCTATTGCTGAGATACTGACTACTGATTACTCCTCTATAGAACCGTCACTTTGAAAAAGTTACAAAAAAGAACATTTTACAAAAAAACAACCTCATACAAAACAATGCAAAGCATAATAGATCCCCTTGGAACAAAACCTAATTGCAGTTCTGACCAGGCAGCGGACTCGAACATTATCACCCCATTAAATGGACGTTATTAGTTGTTATCATCCCAATAGGTAGCGTTCAGACTGTCCCTCCTACCTCCTAGGTTTAATGGTACGTTCTTATCGCTGATTATATGCAGCTTTGCACACGTGTAAAACCGTAAGGTTTTTTTGATAGCTTTATTGAACCCTTTTCCTAAAGGGTTCCACTAACCCTAACCTTACACCTGACCCTAAACTTAACCCCCTGACCCTTGGCTCTTAACCTAACCCCCTGACTATATTATCAGCAAAAAAGAATGGAGGTGCAGGAGGGAAAGTCTGAACGCAACCTATGGGAATGTTCGGACATTTAATGGTTGATAACATTCAAAGCGGGTGAACCAGGCTGAACATGTTTTACAAACTACTTCTTTTCCAGCATAAACTATCTGAAAGGCTGCATCTTAAGTTTTTTGGTAATGTAACTAAGCAAAGAAACTGCAAAAATTACATTTCCTAATTAACCAAACTTGTTGATCAACGCAGTGCGTTATAGATTTTTAGAGAAAGTGAGGCTACAGACGAGCTTGTTAACTGAACACGATGTAGCTCTGAGGCTCAGGAATCAATCTCAAAGCTAAACTCTGCTATTGATCAACAGTGTGTGTTCAGGGACGGCTACCAACAGCTTGACCCCTCCCTCAGAAATTGTGCCAATAACACTAACAACAACATGATGCTTTTACACCTCCACAGAACTAAAGGGCAAAAACGCATTCATACGTTTCCACGCAGGCATTAACGCAGGCACACTGCGTTATAATCATGAGGTTTGCAGAATTATCAGCTCTGGTCAATATATTCATGCCTTTTCTTGTTTGGCATCGACAGCCATAATGAAAATCTATCTCACAGTGAAGGCATGAGGCTGCAGACCGATACACCCCCCCCCCCACCCCACCCCCCTCGGAGTGACAGTCTACATTCAGATATCATTCCAGTCGATTCCTGTCCAGAGGCCGACACGGTCATCTTGTCTTAGAGCAAAAATAATAAATCAAGTTTGAAAATGTGTGAACTTTTGTTTGAGGAAACGTGAGAATTATGAACGTTAGCCATGCTTACACATATGGCACTTTATAATGGCAGCACAGCTGTGTGCATGATGACTCACTCCTTTTTAATACATTATATTTGTTTTTTCTTATTATTTTTACACTTTTTTTTTGGCTAAAACTCGACACAGTGGTCATGTCGCTACATGTTTGGGATGAACAGCAGAGAAATGAGAAGGTCATGGCGCATCGATGAAGAAATGAGAGGAGACTTTTTGCTTCTTCACAGAGGACGGACGGACACTGTCAGTCGGGGTAGATGAGGAAGCCAGAGAAGGTGCTGTATTTGTTGGTGTTTCCTCCGTGAACTTTGCCCCCGTCCAGCTGCACAAACACTTCGTCGCCTACGTCCAGGTGCAGGATGACACTGTTGGAGGCGTAGTCGTAGTTTTGATCCGCGTCTTGAGCGATTGCACTGGCCCTCACCTGGACAGAGACAGAAAAGGTGAGGAGGGAGCCCTTAAACGGTAAGAAAATTTTACTAAAGAAAAATAAATCTGATAATTAGGCGTTTAAAAGATGCGTAAAGAAGCTTTAAATAACCAACAAATGTCTGATCAACAGAAAACTGAACTTAATACATTTGGTGTAGTTAAAAATCTTTGTGGTGCATTATATTCTTGAAGTTTGTGTCCAAGTCCTAATGAGATAAAACCTTCACATGTTAATTTTAAATGTGTTTTAATGTGACGCTTGTTTATAGTTATAAGCGATAAAATTAAAAGGTTTAAATTGATTATTTTTTCTATATTTTTTATCCTCTTTGAGTCACTGGTATTAACAAGTTTTTTACGTAAACTGAAATGAAAAGATGAATGTTGTTACTTTCAGGTTAGTGAGGTTCTGTTTTGAAAATGTGTCAAATTTGCTTTTTTTGAAACCACATCTGAAAACTGAGAGATGAATATGAACGTAACCTCCGAAACACTGCACAATTTAATGTTATCAAAACTAAAATAATCACTTAGTTTGGACGATGTCAAAGAAAACTTGCAGATTGCCTGCCATTTTTCTGCTAAAGATTTAAACAAAAGTCATATTTCTTTGTTTAAATATGATCATTTTAGTCATATTTTGAAAAGAGCTTTAAATGCAAGCTCACACAATCTGTCAGAGCTCAGGATATGTGTTGGGGACGACTCTCAGCTACTACCACATCATAATTTAGCTCAGTTTGTAAAACTGACTGAGTTGTAGCCATTTTTGTGTTTCCTGAGGTTGATTAGATGAGGCGGTCATCTTGAATCGGGTTGATTCCAAAACTTAATCGGATGTAGATGTGAATCCAATGAGAACTTTGTGAGAATTTCATTCACATCTTTCCATTAATTCATGAGATATTTTGCTAACAGACATACACAGTAATTTTTGCATACACAAATGGAGTTACATTATCAACGTGAGAGTTGCTGAGAGTCATCCCTAATGCACACTTCATGGGCTACCAGTTTGCACAATGTTTGCCATCCAGGCAGCCGTCCATATTGCTTTTCATTATGAAATATCATGTTGTAATGTTATGGCTAATTGTTGTTATGTCTTCACTGTTCTTCCTTTTAAATAAAAGGTCATCAGGCTGATTATTGTAAGATTTGTTTTCTCCATTACGTCTCTGTGTGCCACCCAAAGGCAGATCCACTTCATGTGGAAGTGACCAGTGCCATTTTATTTCCCATTTCCAACTGTGATCTGGGCGTAATGTCAACAACAGTGATGTCTTCCTGCTCACTGGGTAGATAAATGAGATGTGCAGTGATCTCTGGCCTCAAACCTCCATCTGAGAGCGCAACCTTTCTTAGTCACCATCATTTTTTTCCAGAGGATTGTGGCTCTCACACCTGATCCACCTGTTGCAGAGGATTACAAAGTCTGATGGGGATTGCAAGGGGTGATGGTATCAGGGAACACATCAGCTAATTTGTCAGGTGGTAATAAAAAGCATGACAACCAATACAGACTTCGTTCCTGCAGTGATTGTTTTTCCATGTTATCATCTATAAGCTGTTTTCCAACATATTGTGTTCTAATTTTTTCAGTTGTTTAAATTTAATAGTTACCGGTAAGTTGTATAATTATTTTTTGTTAGAGTTTTTTAGTCTTTGTCCCATTTACCTTTTTTTCAGTACCACATAAATTTAGCATATTCCCACCAATGATAAGAGAGGTCTCTCAACTCTTTTAGTGATGCAGACATGAAGGAGGACCAGTTTAGGATATCTGATCCTTCAAAACAGGAATTTTTCAGGGAAAAACATAAAAAATGGGCAAAAGAAGAGCTAGAAACAAACCCATTGATGCACACCTTTTTCCATTCATTGTCAACTTATGTATTCTTGGGCAGCACGGTGGTTCAACTGGTAGAGCTGCTGCCTCTCAGCGAGAAGGTCACCAGGTCAAATCCTGACCGGGGGCCTTTCTGAGTGGAGTTTGCATCCTTTGATGCAAACATTGAACATTGCATGTTCTCTCCGTGCATGTGCGAGTTTCCTTTGGGTACTCCAGTTTCCTCCCACAGACCAAAAACATGCATGTTAGGCTGAATGGTAACTCTAAATTGTCCCTAGGTGTGAGTGAGCAAGTGAATGGTTGTCTTGTTTGTCTCTATGTGTCCCTGTGATGGACTTACGACCTGTCCAGGGTGTCCCCTGCCTCTCTCACAGAGACTGTTGGATATGGGCACCAGTGACCCCCAGAAAGGAAAAAGTGGGTAAAGATGAGGGATGGGTGGATCGTAAGTCTTTTTTAAAAGGTATTTCACAAATATGATAAGACTTAAAATGCCTATTATGATAATAATGGTGATTATGATGTAGTCAAAAATACGGACTTCATTTCCTGTTTTCTCATCTGTTTGAGCGTCTAAAAAAATGATTCGGCAGCGGCACATACTTAAAACAAACACTTTAAAATTCATTATCTGGTAAAGACTATAACTTTCAGCTTTACACAATTAAATACAAATTACATGTACGATAGACCATTTTTACACTTTCTTTTACATAAGGACATTTTCATCTTCTGAATGTTATCTGATTTAAAATACACAGTATTATGTTCTTTCCCTAAAATATTATACAGTAATGAATGTAGCGGTTGTTCATTGCTTCAGTCGGAAGGCAGTCAAATATCCTTCAAAAAACTTTTTTAATGTGCTTTAACAGCAGGTTTGAGTTTAAGACAGCACACCTTTGAACAACGATGCTTTTCATTATGGTGTGAAATATTTTGTGTAATTAATCACGCTTAGGAAAATCTGAGTTGTTTTTCACAATCAGTGAGCAGATCTACTAACAATAAATTGCCCTTTCACTGGGCAAGTAACAAACTATCCAAGCAGACAAACAGTGGAGAATAAAGCACACATTCACATACATATTAATGAATGCAAATACGATGCCCTAACTCCATCTTTGTCTCCTCCTCTGGGTCTGAAGCTGACTAAGGGTATGGTTCATCATCTCCACCAGCCATCAAGCGTCCACGAGCTTTTGATTGCAAAGACAAATCAGATCAGTAAAAATCACCCATTTCTCTTCCACCCCCGACCCTTCCTTAAATTTAACTGAATTTATTTCTCAACGCAGGCATTTGTTTCCCAACGATAAGGTGAACATGTTTATTTCTCTCCTGAAGACAGAAATCAATCGATACATATTCTTACTTTAATTCAGCTCACATCGTTCTATTAATTGCTGTTTCTCCCTCCGCACCTCGCACCACTTCCATCATTCCTCTCCCATTCACCGCCCTATCCCTGTCTCTTCATTCTGAACCCATCTATCCATCTTTTTGCGTTCGCATGTTGGAATAAGATGCAGGTCACGTACACGTTTTCTCTCCCCCACCATGACAGTGTTGGCAGGAGCAACGACTAAGTGTGTCCCTGTCCGGCCTAAATCGGATTGATTAACGACGTGCTGCTATGGCAGGTCTCTTGAGAACCCCCTTCTCGCCCCCCAAACTATCCTCCCCTAGCCCCCCCCCCCCCTCTTTCACACCCCCCCCCCCCCCCCCCGCCTTCCAGATGGATCAGGGCAGGCTATACATGGCTGCAAGCTGCAGTAATTGGTAGTCTGACAGCCATGGCAGAAGATCCCCACCTAATAGGTCCAATTCCTCAATAACTTCATACAATCACAATGAATGGGGGGCACAGGATAGGCAGCAATGGTCAAACGGGCCCATGAAATATAGGCAGGAGGTCAGATTTAGATGCAACACACACACTTTCCTCCTCTTTTCATACATCTCGATAAAAGCAGCTATCTTTCCTCTTTGTTTTTATGAAGCTCGAGCGAATACCTGAGGAAGAAATGTGTCGAATGTAAGACGTTTCGTTATGTTAAAGTGTGAGAGTGCTTTGCTCTTGGGGGACTGAACAGCTTCCCCGAGGAGATCTAATAGGTTTGAGCAAAAAATACAAGAGTACGACGATTCTGACAACTTGTACATCCCGCATCTGTCTACATGGCTGAATGGCAGAAATCCCCAGGCGCGTCTGTCAGCTGAGTTAAACGCTGTCAGGCTGCTTTGACTTGATTTGAGATCATAAACGTGTCAGTGAAGAAAAGAATAGCACACCTACTCACAGATGGTGAATTCTTTTAATAAGAAAAATGCAAGTCAAGGTCTGAAACAAAACCCCGAGTACCTTTGGTGACTTTAAAAATCAGAAATGTAAGAGGCAGCATCTATGCAACAGTTAGACCAGTCAGACCAGGATCTAATGCAAGCTTGTTGGTTGTGTTGCAATATGACTGAGGCACGACAGCTACACCCTGCAGCATAAATGACTTAAAGGACTAAGGTTTGAAGTCCAATACCACAGGTAGCAGCTATGAGTTTGAAAACAGTGGCCCGCAAAGATGCAGCAGCCACTCCTGTCATGAAGAAAACTACAAGTTAGTGTTTACGTACGCATACGACTGGGAGCTGTGGTTGGAAACTGAAACGTCCAGATGAAACTCTGTGCAAGGAGTAGGAGTTATGCAACCAAGTGACTGATGGAGGTTGCACAAAAAGCAATGTCAAACCAAGAAAAGGGTTGTTGGCTTAAAGAACCTGCACAGAACAACTTTGTCATGGCTTTTTCTCACCAGTCTCAATTGGTTTCTAAATAAGACAGATTGTTTTACAGTTGCAATTGCACATGTAAAGTTACAAACTGTTTTGTTTTTTTTGCCTGAAAATGGTCTCCAAAGCAACATGACTCATATTCCGACCAGACAGACTGAGGTCTTTCTTCATAGCCCGAAAAGTAGAAGCTGCAAAACCTGCATTTGTGGCTCATCTATGAGCTCATCAATGGCTCTGTGATGGCAGTGGTGAGGAAGTGTTGGAAACTCAGCTCCTTATTGACGCCATGTAAAGGTCAGTGGAGCAGTGCCATGTAGGTTGTGAAGGCAGACACAAAGACATCGAAGACT